ATAAAAAGACAGCCCGCGAAAGCAAGTCCTGATGCTTGGAAAGAGCAATGCAAGCAGTTGTTAAACCTGATATATGAAAGAGAGGACTCAGAGCCTTTTAGACAGCCAGTTGATCTCTTCTCCTATCCTGTAAGTACGACTTCCATATTCAAAATTAAAAAACCTACTGTTCATCCTTTGGCAAAACACCCATGCTGGCTATGATTCTAACCTCTGCCGTTCTGAGCTGGAACGTACCGTGTTTTGTGCACTGAGGTTTTCAGGGAATTATCTGCAGTAACTCTCAAGAAATAATTACTTGAGAGCCACTGTTGTGGATGAACACTTAGGTGTTATCATTGCTGTAGGATTTGAGAGCCTTTATTATTTTCTTGTATATTTTTACAGGATTATCGAGATATTGTAGACACTCCTATGGACTTCAGCACTGTGAAAGAAACCTTGGAAGCAGGAAACTACACTAGTCCCTTGGAATTCTACAAAGATATTCGTTTAATATTCTGCAACTCTAAAGCTTACACTCCTAATAAAAAGTCTCGAGTAAGTAATAAACTTTAATCCCTTCTTTACAAAGACCCTGACCCTACATGAATACGGTGCATGAAACAAGGTCTGTATCTGGAGAGCAAAGCTCTGCATTGTGAAATAAAAGCAAGTAGTATATGTCAATTTTGGGACCTATGATTATACACTTGCTTTGTGCTGCTCACGTAGATCACTTCTGAATTTCATGTTCAGCTGAACTTTCTGAGTTTAAAGCTTCTGACAAATTGTGTGGTTACTGTTGCAGCTATTTCTTTGGATATTTGTAGCAGAAAACTGATCACCAGTTGTGTTTATTTTTTCAATAATTTATTCCTGGACACGAGGCTATGGGCTTGCTAACTGCATATATATATATATGTATATAGTAGGAACTTTTTTAATCTATTGTTAATGCAAGTATTATGCAATATTTCTATGGAGAGCATTATGATACCTAATTTTTTTTCTAGTGTAGTTAGTATACTTGGCAAGACTTTTGCACGGTGTTCCCTGTGTTTCTCAGGTGCTAATCTTGATTTTTTCTGTATGCAGGAATAGGAGTCTACTTAGACAGAAAAAATGTATTGGATTGGAGCCCTAAACAGCATGTGGCAAGAGAGAAAGGGGAGATTGAAATGTTAGAATATAGATATTTTTATATGAGCTAGGTAAAAGGACTGCTAAGTGTATGACTGATCATGTAAATGTGGCGATGTCTGAGATGTGCTCCTGTGCAGTATATTGCCTGTCAGCCTTTCCTAAGCTGCTGAATGATCAAATGATTTTAAAATTTTCAAATGTTTCTATAATATGTTCTTTATGCTCAAAAAATCACAAGTTGGCAGGATGACACAGATGCAGTTTTTACCACTGTTAACGCAAAATAGAATTTGAGTGGTTGATGTCTTCATAATATAAAAGTAGAAAGAATTTTGACTGTGTTTCCAAAGGTTAATGTAATTGTAACGTTAATTGTAATGACCTTATTATTAGGAGAAGCTGCATATTAAACAAGATGCCTAAGTTGTAACCAAATTACATCTCTGAAACATGTCATTTAGCACAGATAAGAGTGCTGGTCACAAAGTTGCCAAATATTTATTGTGTAGAAACAGGAGCGCTTGCAAACTATTAAGTAATGCACGCCATTTGTGACTAGACTGAGATACTATTACTTAAAGCATTACATAAAATTTAATATTTCTGTAAAATTTAGATGTGGCACCAAACCTGGTATGACACAAGATTGTGTTACGCTAGGTGCTGTCAAGCAGGAGAAAGAGCAGAGTGTGCTGCAAGAGCTTTCAGTGCAGCTGTGAACAGTGCTGGATGGGAGGAAGCAGGAGGTTGCGTGATGTTACTCGTCACTCCAGGAGTAATAGTCTCAGCTCATCAGTGGAATAACATCTGCTATGTTTTGTGTAAGCAGGACCATGAGAGTAAGCTTGAAGTAGGATGATGCTGTAGGAGAGGGGAACTCCAGCCGAGTGTTAGCAGGCATGACAGAAAGCGCAAAGTTGCCATCGCTGAAGGTAGATTGAAATCTTGGTGTTGAATGAGAGCTGAAAGGTAGGCTGTGGGTAAGCTCTGAAGATAAGGACCAGTAACTTTTGTTTGCTTTAACAGAAAGGAAGTCAGTAGAGGATTGCAAGAAGACAGGTGATTTGAGGGTGTCTGTGTGTGCTTGACATCAGAGTAAACTTGGCGAGTTATCTCCTGTTGCATGCTCCCTGGGAACTTCCCTGTGTATTAATAACTGAACAGCTTGTGAGTTGACTCCCAAATTACTTTAATAGAGTGGCCCATCAATATCCATTTGCTTAAATACTGTGAAGTGCCTTGTTGAGATGATCCTTGCTGGAGGGCTTGGGCACACAGCCTGGCCTTCTGCCACTGCAGGTTCGTCTGCTGCCAAATGTGTGCCAATATCCTGAGGTTTTCTAGCTCATTTCACCATCTTTGCAACAGCATCTTGAATGGAGGCAAGAAGGGCAGGATACCACATATCAGAGATAAAGAGGCATTGCTAAAATATAAAGTCTGGGCAAAAGCTGAGTTATAGGAATGTAAAGAAAACTCTATATCAAAGAGCTTTTATATTCAGACAGACTGCAAGAAATGGGAAAAGGTCTGAGCATAAGATGGTGATAACATGTCCTTGATGGTGTTTACATGATTTTCAGAAGAATGGATACAGCAGAAGGGTATGGGTATGATGAAGGAATCATGAGCTTTGTTTTATTTATCCTTAGTTTGAACTATTAGTTTGTCATAACTCAAGCATACCCAAGGTAAAATCTTGAATAGAAGTAAATACAGTCAGAAATACGGTGAAATAGCTGTAAATGAATTTGTGGATGAGGCTACACAGAGAAAAGGCCTAGAAAGTGTACAGGAAAATGGTTTAAGGATTTTGACATCTGGCTTACAGAAATTGGGCCATTTTAGGTAGCCCTATGTACAGCTCTAGGGGTAGTATAAGGACTCGTTACTTGGGAATTAAAGCAAAAGGCAAAGGTGAGGGGACAATGAAGTTCAATTGTTTTTCCCTTGGTACTTCAAGTCGTCTTATAGCATGCTTCCATGCTTTATGGAGATTAAAAAAGGAGGCTATATTTCAATAATCTAGGTATCAATTTCCCTTTAACTCTGTAAATATTTTGTACTGGAAGTAGTTAAATCCCTTTACAAAAACACTTTCTGTTGTGAGAATACGCATGTACCACGGAGGGAAGTTATCTGTAAAGAACCTCGTAGTTGAATGTCACCATGAATTTTTCTTTTGTGCTACAAAGTCTGGGCATCTTCGTGATTTTCTTTTTTTTCCTGATCTTCTAGTTATTCAACTTCTAATAAGTATGAACATACTTTCTCACTCCAGATTTACAGCATGACACTTCGACTATCTGCCTTATTTGAAAATCATATGAAAAGTATCATCTCTGAGTACAAGTCAGCAGTGCAATGTCAGAAGAGGAAAAGGCCACGGTACCGAAAACGGCTAAGAAGCAGTAGCAGTTCACCATCAACTAGCAGGGCATCTAGGTAACGTAATGATAATGAGACTCGCTATCAGTGTCGTTTGAGATGGCAGTGGTAGACATGCCTTCGTGAATAAGCAGTCAGTAACAGTATTGCTCTTTTCCTGATGCAGTTGCTCTTATGGGTGATAAAATCATGAGCTCAAATTCCATGCTGAATTTGTAGTTTGTGCATAATTGTGGTAAGTGAAAGACTATATATTTAGAAGTATTCCCTCTGGAGAAAACGAAATAGCAAGTTTCTTTTTTGCCTTTGTTTAGTAACTGTTGCAAAAAGTGTTGTATAACACTCTTCTGACTTCTGTATGATACATTATCTAAGTAAACTGAGTATTCATTTAAAAAGGTGAGATAAAATCTTATTCTTGCAAACTTATATTCCTTTATTAAACAGAATGATATCATCACCATATTTAGTATTACTACACCTGAGCAAGCACTGGGAAGAGATCATTTGTGTTATGCATTTGCTGCAAGAAACAAACACTTTGCACAGGTAATTGGTTTTGTGTTTGAGTCTTTTGGTACTAACAATTTTATCTCTTTGGGATATTTTGTGTCTTCAGCCCAAAAGGGAAACAGAAGCAAATGAAGATTCAACCTAAACCCAACCAGAATACCTCACTGCCTTTGACTAGGACTAGTTCTTCAGTTTCATCTCATGGTGAGGAGAAACTTTCTAATATGCATCCTTTCTCTTGCAGTAACTTGTATGCGCAGAATGATGAAAAAGCTGAAGGATATTTAATGTTCAGTTTAAATCTTATATTCATGAAACGCAAGCAGAACCTATCTGTTGAAAAAGCGAGTAGTAAGGTCATGTAAATATGTTGTTTGTAGATTGTGTTAGCTGAACTTGGCCCTACAGCTGTTGGTAAGTTATTGGTAAGGGTAAGAGAATAGGTAACCTGGGTCTGTCCTTGGTTAGAATTAATGTAGTGACAAGAGCCTGGACTTTCTGTATACACGCTTTTCTCATAGAGCCATCACACATACATTAAGCTTACTTTAGATTACGCCCCGGAGGAATCTGTCTTCGTGACTGCAGAGGCAGCTTGGTGAGATTAACCTCCTGGCTTGGGCTGTTAACTCAGGTGATAGAAAACTCCCCCAAAATGCCTTGCATTAGAACCCTATAAATAAAGGATAAAAATTACTCTGTCACATTAGTGGTGTCCTGTCTAAAGTTTCAGATACAGCAGAAGAACCTCTGGGTTCAGCCACTGGTGAAGAGATGGAAGGTCAGCCATCTTCCTCAGGCTCAAATGCACAGAACCGAAGTGGAAATACCATTGATCCAGGGAAAAGTAGACCAATCAGGAGTAAATCTACACCAGTGAAACAAGGTGAGAAATAATAAGTATTCTGTTCTTTGAATGACTGATTTAACTGGAAATGAAAGGTGTTGCTTCTGTCTGATGCTTATGATATGCTTGCCTGAGCCTAGCGTTGTACTGTAACCCCAAACCATACTAAAGAATTGAATTTACCTTACTTCTTACAGTTCTGTGCTCTCTTGTCTCAGGTGTGGCATGCACGTGATGCCACATGCACTTCAGTGAAGTAAAGTTTATCCAGAAGGAAAAACTTGATTGCTCTTAAATTTCTTAAGCATTGTGTGTATCCTGTGTTAAAGAAGATACTTAATCTTCATTGTCAGATTTGTAACTCTGAAAACATGTAGTATTTTGGGTTGCAAGTCAGCAAGATACTTTATGTATTTTTAAGTTAAGGTGTTCAGCAATCCTAGTGAGCTTCCTTGGGTTATTTACTGTCTTGAAATTGTGCTTGCAACAAGCGTTCCCTGGACTAAGCCTTTTGAGAATAGGTATTTGATGGGGAATAAATACTGCTTGCAGAGTGTTATTTTAATGTATATGGATTTGAAATGGATTTTAGAGTTTTTTCTGCCTTGGAACCCTAGGTAGGATTCATCTGACTAAATGTTAGATGTTTCTGTCTAACCTTGTCACTCTGGGCTCCTTTTATTGACTGGATCTTCACTGAACTCTTAGTCAAGAGCATTTGCGGTCCTGGCTTCCAGATAAGATGAACTTTGTTTATTTGTCTGATAAATTTTCCCCTTAGAGCACCTGTTTGTCTCCACAGCATACAAAGGTCATCTGTGGTGAGTAGCTCAGAGCTGGATCATCCCCAGAGCATTGCTCAAAGGCAGATGAAGCGAATCCCACTTTTTGTACCCTATTTGGCTCAAGCATGATGATGATAACTAATAGGGTTATTTTGTGTTTGCTTAGATCACTCTCCTGATGGACCACTTACAAATGGTGATGGCAGAGAACCTCGGACGGGAGTCAAGAGGAAGTTAATAAGTGCATCAGAAGAAGATGAGCATCTGGAGGAGGTGGAGGAAGAGGAAAAGAAGAAGAGAGAATTAAAGGAAAAATCTGGTTTGTCTTCATCAGAAAGTGGGGAATCGGGATCCAGTTCAAGTTCGGAAAGCAGAAGTGGCTCTGATTCAGACTCTGAATCAACATCTAGAACAGATCAGGATTATATTGATGGAGACCATGACTACAGCAAAGTTGTGCAATCCAAAAAACCCAAAAGAAAAATCAAAAGAAAAATCACCAGTGGGAAACGGAATTGGCAGGGCAGAGGGACAGGGAGGAGAGGTAGATGGGGGAGGTGGGGGAGATGGAGTAGAGGGGGAAGAGGTGGTAGAGGCGGAAGAGGCTGTGGCAGGGGAAGAGGTGGCGGCAGGGGAGGAAGAAGAGGCCGAGGAGGCCGAGGAGCCTCGCGAGGAGCCACCAGAGCAAAACGTGCCCGAATTACAGATGATGAATTTGAAAACCTGTTTGGAGGACAATTTGGTGAAAACGTGTTTGGAGGGCGATTCAGTAGACCGCCTCGAATCAAAACGAGGAATGAAGGCAGGAGAACTGTCTTGTACAACGACGATTCTGATAATGACAATTTTGTGCACACCGAGGATCCTTTGAACCTTGGTACTTCCAGGTCAGGCAGGGTGCGGAAAATGACAGAAAAAGCCAGGGTCAGCCATCTCATGGGATGGAATTATTGACAGATGAAAAACTTTGGAACAATTTTAAAAGAACTTCAATGGCCTTCTACTGCAGGGATTTTACCAGAAAATCTACCAAGCAAGTTGTGCGGGGACTCCACTCACGTTTCACAGTGGTGCTTTTCCATTATGTCAGTTTGCGTTTGTTTTAAAACTTCAGATCGCCACACTTCATTGGTCAAAACAAGCCTTATTCATTAGGCCTTAAATTACAGAAATTCTTCCCCACACACTACAAGTTCATCACATTAAAGAGGCTTCCAGCTTCTCAGTAAGAACATGACATTTTGAGTCACGATTATGACTTCTCTCCCTTGTTTTGTTTTTGTATTATAGAAATAGCACCTTCTTACAGAGTTTTTATGTGGTTTCTGCCATAAATCCTTATACACAGTAATAATTATAACTTTTGCACAATACACCAATCCTAAAGGCAGCTATAAAATGTTTACAGTTTCTATATTGTAAGGAGGATCTGGATTATTTTAATCTTCCCAGGCCAAACGTTCATGAATTGTGCTGAACTGAAGTATGTCTATACTACAGTTACGGGGGTCCTGATGTGCTTTCTATCGGTTCTTTATTCATGTAAAAAGTGACAAAGGGTTGGTGCCTTGTAAATATGTAGCAAACCTTTGATGTGGTGTGTCCTATGTGTGCATTAACTTTATTAAAAAGAGAATACTTGAGAAGTATGAATATCTAGACAAAAGGTGCCAAATGCAAAAGTTACTTGCATCTATTTTCTTTTTGTCCTCTCATATTTTTATAGTATTAATAGAGATTGTGCAGCTAAGGGGTAACTTCAACATTTGAAAGGTTCCTCCTCTTCAAAGCGTAACGTGATTTTTAATAGTAGCTCGGCTACCTCTATTTACAACTACTGGAAACTTAAAAGAAAATAGATGCTATTATTCAGTACATGTTGAAGAAGAGGCAAGAAGGAGCGTAGAGGGATGGAATTGCTCACAAAGTTGTAGAGTTAACTGTATCTTCATTATGTTGACACAGTGAAATCAAATCTAAGTCATTATCAGAGTTTTCAGCAGCATAATGTTTTCAGCAGATAATGATTTGTTTGTGCAGATAGGGCCACTGTCTCCCACACGTTTCTGCTGCCACTTGCTCGGTGCAAATTTGCATTTGGTTTAATTTGCCCCTTGAAGTTGATGAGGGCGCTGAACGGAGCCCTGGTACCTCTGGTGGCTGGCACTATGGACAAGCTTCTGTTCACATCCTCCAGACGGACTCGTGTATCTCAAGCTTCCAGAAGCGAATTTGTGTTGCACTGTACTCTTGTTATCCTGAAAAACGCTAGCTTGAAAACAGAAATCATTTTCGTAGTGATAGTACAGTATGTCATGATATTTGTAGTCTTGCTCCTCGGTGAACAGCAACAAGTGTTTGGCGTGGGCTGAGCTGGAGATGAGCAGCCTCTTACTTCTGTAGGGTCTGGCTGGAATATACGTGGGACTTGAGTTTTCTCCTGTTGTCTAAATGAATTTGACAGTTCTAGCTTGGTTAAGAGAGTGAGTTAGATTACACAGAGAGAACAAATGAAAAAAAAAAAAACAGACTGGAAAGTTTCGGTGGAGTTTTTAAATTATATTTTTTTTTAACTTTCATCCAATATCCTTAAGTTCTTCTGTGCACAGCTTGGTCAATAATTCTGGAAAACCTCAGGCAGCAAAGAGTGATCCATGTATATTCTCAGATGCAGAAGGAATTTAATTTTTGACTTTCTATATTAAGCACTAGCTATTTTATCTCGCTTTCCAAAAATTCTAGTTAGATGCAAAATGACTTGAAAAAATGCAGAGGTTTAGTTTTGTGATGAAGGAGAGTATATCCTAAATTGCTCAGAGCATTAATATGAGTTTATGGTACAATACAAAAATCACACTTTTAATTTTTTAAGGAATGTTTTGAATCGGCTGTAATCCATTTCTGGATTTGGTTCAGTTGTGTTTTGATGGGGGGGAGGGGGGGGGAAGTGCAGAGGCTCTCCTAATTCTGTGTTGGGCTTTAAAGTATAAACACCTGTCCTATCATCTCTCTCATATATATGTATATATATACACACATATATATTTATAAGAAATGTATTATTTCTTTGACTGATTGGTCCTTCTACATATGGTAACCAGGAATAGCATGTATGCATCCGTTCATAGTCAGAATCATACCCCTTTTAGATCAGTCCTGTTGAGCTAATGTAAACACTATGGTTTCTTTTCTAAAGCCTGAAAATCTTGAAATGCAAAAGAAATGCTTTTCATATATTTCTGACTGGCCGAAGATCCACTTACTTATTTATTTTGTGTAGGGGTTGGGGAGAGATAAAACACGTGGATTCCAGAGAAATCATTTTATAAGTTTGTGTATTTTAGCAGCAATTAGAATAATATTAAATATGTTCTTACATGTATCTTTTCTATGTAATGAAGTACTGTGAAGATAACAGTGAAGCATCACTTTGCTGTGGCGTAAGTATTAATCAAATGTGTTACATGATTAAGAGCTAGACAGCAGGGTGTGCTAGAACAACAGAACTATTGCTTATTATGTAAAAAAAAAAAAAAAAAGCTTTTTTGTGCATGAGAACCTTTTTATAAGCATGAAAGAAATAACTTGGGTTTAGAGATGTTATTTTTACTTGGTTTTGTATCTGGATTCTTTCTCTTGAGTTAGGCAATTGATTTCTCATAGCCTCGTTCTGTGGAATAACTATAACTTCACAGTAACTTGGACACTTTCTCTCAAAACCCAGATCCTATTAGGAGCCACTTATGGTTGCAGAAAACGTAGTATCGACCCAACAGGTGCAGCAGAAGCAGTAAAATGATTTAAACCTTGTACCGTCTCGCTCCCTGATCCGAAACCTTGGGTGCTCAGCCAGCATCTCATGAAGTTGCCGAGCTCCTGGCAGGCTGCACTGCCCGGTGTGTGTTGCAGAGTCAGGAGCATAAGCTCTCTCCTTGCACTTTTAACAAAAAAACTCCAAAACTCTGCCTAAGAAAAGGGTTTGGAGTTCTGATTATGTATCGGATTGCTGAAGGCTAACAAGGTGTGCAGGCAGGCCAGGGCTTCCTCTGCTGCTGTAGGATTAATTCTTGAGCATCGGTGCTTCAAGGTTTTCTCTAGATGTGGAATCTTGTATGATCCCTCTCCTTATGTAACGGGGAATTTGAGGGCATTTGAGGGCATTCGGGGGCACCTTGGGAAACGGCTCGCGCTCCGGGGGCTTTACTCGCAGCAGAGCGTGAGCCCCACGTGCTCCCTCTGTGGAGATGGGGCTGAAAGTCTTGTGTGCATCTTTGTTCTCAGAGTTCTCCTGGCTGCAGATCCGCTCTCTCTGTAGTGCTCCCATTTCTTCCCGGACCAGGGCATGGATGATAAAGCTTATTTTGCAGTAGTGATGTGCTGTTGTCTCAGTGCAGCCCAGACTTTGCCTGCTTTTTATTTTCTTGTCACCTTCTGTTTTTCTCTTTCCCATGCTCCACCTCTCTTCTTTAGCTTCCCTTTATTGCCCCTGTAGGTTATTTAGAATACTCTTTTGGAAACTTATGATATCTTGATGAATTTTATTTTGGCTAGACTGTAAGTTTTAATTCTTTCTATGCCTCTTTTCCCCCGAGACTTTCCATGTTTTTTTATATCTGCCTGCCTTTGCTACCAACATTCCTAACTTGCTGGAGGTGGGTTTAATGAAGTTGGAAAGTTTGAGGGCTGGCTTCTCGGCTGCTCGGCACCTCTGCGGCCACCTGTACCCCGAGTGGAAATGCTGCTGGCTCAGCCGGGTCAGCACGTGCCTTCCCTTGCCCTGGTGTCGGCGGCTGCGGGGGCACGGCAGCGGGGCTGCTCCCATCGTGCTGCCTTACACACAGCTACGTAAAACAGCACTTAGTTCCACCCGGTGTCCCTTAACACGTGTGCTCCATGTCTTCTGAACCACTCCATTTTTCCTCTTGCTTTGTGAACAGCAGTTAATGTAACCCTTGTAGAAGTCGTGTGCTTCCAGCCTCGTGAGAGATTTCTGTTTTAAATAACCCATGAAACTTGTGTGTCGGTGCTTAAACTTAGATGGGTCTGGGCAGTTTCATCACTCCTTTCTTTCTGTCACTCCTTTCTGCTTAAACTAAGCAGTGGCCACCCCCTTATCCCCATCGCCCCCACCATGCAGGTAAACAAGCTAAATATAATCGTGAAGAAATAATTTGTGGAGGATTTTTGGCCGCTTAAAATTTTGCGTCCTGTTGCGTATTTTAATTTCCCCTGAATGTTTTCTTAAATGTACACCTCAGCTGCTTCTCCTGCACAAAGGCAGAAAGACTGTGTAGCACGTAGAGCACTGAAAAGAACTGACACCGGGTGCGTAGTAAAGAGAGTTTTCAAGTAATTTAAAAAATGTGGAAAGACCAACTACAGTGTGTTGCTTTGGACAATGTTTGGAGGCTCTCTTGGCTGCAAAAAGCAAGAGGAACCTTGGCAAGCATTTGAAAAGGCTGCTCCTGGGTGTCTCTGGAACGTTTCTGACAACCGTTCAAAATCACACAGTATTAACATGAGAAAAGAAGTTTAAATCACTAATGTTTTGCTAAGAACTTGATTAATATTTCGTCTTTAATCTGAGCGGTGAATGACAGGGAAAACTGAATAGCTGTAGGTTTAAGGATGTCTTGTCAACCCTGACGTGGAGCGTCCTGCTTTCGTTGGTCTGTGTCATGAATTCAATGTTTTAAAAATGTATTTGTGTGTTTACATTTCTTGATTTTATTTTATTTTTTAAAACCGTCATGCAAAGTTTTATAAAATGCTAATTATTTACATGATAGACTGAAGGAGCAGTTAACAATCCAAGGATAAATCTATATTTAGTATTGTAGGGAGCTGTCATTGTGTTCTTACATGTATTATAGAAAATTACTGCGCATGTGCGATAGATAATTTTCAAATATTAGTATATCAAGAGGTTTACACATTAAAAAAAAAAAGAAAAAAAACCTCCTTTATGTACAGTAACAGCCTGCAAAATTTAGTCTAAAAGTTGTCTTTTTTAGCATTAGAAATGCAGAGACCTGTTGGAAGCTTGTCCATTTTTAATGTCATGATCAGCCCACAGCAAACTTACACAACTGTGCTATGAATCCCTGAAAAATTAGATTTCCAGTGGAATTGCTGTCACAGCCTTAACTCTAGTATTATAAAAATGGTGCTTAAATACATTTATGTGCATGGATGTGGGTACCTGATAAGAGTTTGTGAGAATTTAAAGTAAAGCCGAGCAGCTTAGTGCTGCACCTGCGAGTTAATACTCCTGCTAGATAACTGCAGCCACATTTGGGAATTGACAAATGTGCAAATATTTGGAAAATATTTAAACCAGTGGACAATTAAGATGAGTTTCTCAGTTTGGGGTTTTTTTTAATTGGCAAGAACTGCATATCTTCCCGATTTCTAGGTCTGTAAGAAGCAGACGGGGTGGCGGGAGGAGCTGCTCTGGAGGCCGGGGGAGCCGAGGTCCTGCCTGAATATTTGCAGGAGGGGTTGGTGTTCCCGCGTGCCTCGCGGCTCCGCTGCTCCTTGGAAGATAAAATCAAAATCCTCCATTTCTCTTCCTAAATATGCCTCCTCAGAGAGTGGTGGCTGCTCGCATATACTTAGAAATCAAAGTCTGATAGTTATTTTTCTGTAGAAATACTAATATAGGCTATTCATTCCTCCATGAATCAGTAGAGCAGACTTCATTTAGAAATATCAGTTGATGTTGGAGCAATGAAATTCACGTGATTTAGGCTCTCCAATTCATGTTCTGGATGATTTACAATACTCCAAAAATGCACAAAACTATTAGAATTATGTCTACTTTCTATATTGATTTTTATTTTTTTTC